TTATAGACTCGGCCATCTTTATGTAGAGCAACCATTCTTTTTTTCAGATCCTCAGAGAGTTCTTTCCCATGACGTGCCATGTTGAACTTCCAGTTACCAGTATGAGGGAGTGTGAGAGCGATGACATCAAATTTAAGACACCTGCTCCCCATTCACACCGGAGACCTTGTAACACTAATGAGTCACATGACATGCAAGAAAATGGCTAATTGGGCCCAATTTGGACATGTTCACTTAGGGGTGTACTCACTAGCAACAAAGTGAGTTAGACATTAATGGCTGTGTGATGTGTTATTTTGAGGGGACAGCAAATTTAAACTGTTACACAAGCTGCACACTCACTACTTTACATTGTAGCAAAGCATCATTTCTTCAGTGTTGTCACATGAAAAGATATAATCAAATATTTACAAAAATGTGAGGGTGTACTCACTTTTGTTAGATGCTGTATACGTCCAGTAACACGGTTGCTGAATGTGAAGTTCACTACCAGTTCCTGTCTGATAAAACTGTAGCTGTTGTTCAACACAGTAATTAGGATTTCTGGTGATAGCTCTTGCGTTCTCAGTGCAGAGACATTCGAACATTCTTGCTGATCATATTTGGTTATCGGTCCCTGAATCCAGGGTGATGCCACATATATTAATGATAAATTAATAATTTTGAATGTTAATACATATTAATATTTATGTATATATATACTTATTAATAAAATTAATACTTCTAGAATATCTTTTATATCTTTCAGCTAATAACCAATGACCCCATGTTGAATTCCTCAACACTCTGCAAAGTACTAAAGCACCAGGAAATAAAAACGGCTTTTAAAAACGTGTCAAGATGTGTTGTCAAATTGATCAATATGTTATTCTAAAAATGGTTCAATGGTTCTGGCCAAAACAATCCGGCTTTACTTTAGCAAAGGAAAAGACAACACCACCAACTTTACAATTTGTACAAGTGGACACTAGCTCAGTGAACCATTCTGTGACTGGAGACCATAGCACTAGAAAGGAGACAAAAACTTAAAACACTATTTTAGTTTAAATTAAATCCTTACACAATTATTGCAAAATTGGTGGTAGTCAGTATTGTAAACAATATTTATTAAAAACTGGTGTACTGTACAATTAGACATAAACTAATCAGTAGATTATGTAAATTGCAGATATATACGTTGTTTTTTATTCAGCACTTACAACTCTTAGTTACCCTCATGGTCATTAACAGCTACGAAAAGTTCTAGCTCACGAGATAGAAAAGCTCACAAAAGCACCACAGACCAGACTGTGGAGTTAGTGTTGATGAAGCTGTGTGTAAATGATGAAATGCTGAAGTTTGTCTCTGTGTTGAGGTGGACCAGTGATCCTGCAGAGTCCTGTCCTCCCTGTGATGGAGGGACATGATGTCACTCTGCACTGTAAAACAGAGACCCCTCCCTCCAACCTCCCAGCTGGTTTCTATAAAGATGGCTCCCTCATCAGGACTGAGCCTACAGGTCACATGACCATCCACCATGTTTCCAAGTCTGATGAAGGCCTCTACAAGTGTGACATCAGAGGTCGTGGAGAGTCTCCATCCAGCTGGATCTCTGTCACAGGTGAGGAGGTTACCTTTGATTTCAGGAATTACCTGAAATATACCTGACCAGGTGGGATTCTTTCTACAGGTAAACCTACAACCTCAGCTCTGCCCACCCCACCTCCTCCATCGCCTCCTCCATCGCCACCTGCCTCAGCCCCCTTCCAACTTGTGTTCAGACTGATCTGCCACCTGGTGGTATTCTGTCCGTACTGCATCTCCACTGTCCTCATGGTGTCTTTATATCGACGCAGGGCCACAGGTGACACTCTGAATCATTCACTGACCTTAAAATCAATCTGTTAATTAATGGTGTAGATAATTCACAGTTGTCTCTAACAGATAAATGATCTACATTTTCTTTTTAACCTGCTCTGACTGCAGGAAATGACCTGCCAGTCTCCATGGTGATGACCCCGCCCACCCAGGCTGAGGAGGTATTGGATGATGACTATGATGATGTCATGAACTCTGCTGTCACCACAGAGCATCACTTCTGAGCTGATCCAGTGTGTTCAGTGTGTTCTGGTTCTTAATGAAGCTAAAATGTTTGATTCATGAGAAAATAAACCTCAAAGCTGTTGACATGTTTTTGGTCCAAATGAAAGCTGATCGTTGTTGAGGTTCTGGTTTGAGTTGTGTTGTTGTTGTTTGGTTCAGATGCTTTAGAACAACACTTTTTGTATTTACTACCTTTAACGTTTTTAATAAATCTCACATAATCAACCAAATCTCTGAGTCATATCATATCAAAGTTACAGTTTCAGAGGTTTTCCATTAGAAAAAATATGAGGATGACCTTAACAGGATATTTAACATTTTAACATGATGGGATACTTCTCCTGTGGCAGCAGCCTCAGAATTCAGCCTTCATGAAGGCTCACAGCTTTATTCTCCATGAAAGAGAAAAAGAGCAGGAAGTGACAATTACCTTAAAATGTATGTTAACATCAGCAAAGTCTGTGAGGATCGAGGGCTTAGGCTTTAGGGTGGAGATTGGGCCCATGAAGCTGCCAGACAGGAAGCATCATGTCTGAGCATCTTTTTTGATATCTCCCATTTTCAGGGCACAACACTGACACTTAGAAATACAGATAAATCCTACTGACTTTAGTAACTAAGTACAATCGCTACTTAATTTGTGTGCTCCAGCACCTCTTACATGCGCTCCGTCTCCTCTTCATACAATCTGATTTCCCCTCCCTGCCCTCATCTCCCTAACACCTTGTTGGGGAAAGTCAGTCATTGTATGCTATCAAAGAGAGAGAAAAAGCTCATTACAAAATGTCTTAGAGACAGAGCATTATATTATATTTCTTAGGCAAAGCCACGAAGCTATTAGCACAGAAAAGATCTACCAATTGTGGCTGAGGAGCCCTCAGATAACCATTTATTCATTTAGCTGACTCTTTTATCCAAAGCGACTTACAATTGCTATACATTTCAGAGGTTGCACACCTCTGGAGCAACTAAGGGTTAAGGATCTTGCTCAGGGACACATCGGTGTCTTACAGTGGATTCAAACCCGGGTTTCTCACACCAAAGGCATGTGTCTTATCCACTTTACCATCACCTCTCCATGTTAGAGCTACTGCAGTTATGTATGCTAGTGCAAGCATTAAGGACGAAAGACAAGGGGAGTTTGAGCGGTGTGATGAGGACAATAGCTCGTCAAACAGTGATGTGGAGAAAGGCTCCAAAACATCTGAGCTACCCACTGTATGGAATGTGGAGCAATTTAAGAGTCACCAAGCCTCCCACTCATTGCTAATTTGAAATAGGAAATTGTGGTGTCCGAACAATAATGCTGCGGTGATGTGTTGAGAAGAAATCCGCTTGACACTGTTCTTGATCATAAAGTTTAATACATCAAGGAGTTCAGCATCAATTACAGTGTGTGACCCAGCCCGATGGCCACTCTGTCTTTCTGTACATCAAACACAGCTTATATAGGATATGTGTAGGTATCTGTTAGGTACCATAGAAGGGTTTGAGTCTGCAAAATAAAGATACCATAAAAGGGTACAGTACTATTCTGAGGTAACAAAACAAGGGGTTAGAGGTCAAATTCTATAGAAGGGTTCAGTCCCTACATAACCACCAATCACTGCTCTCCCCTTAGGAGGTCACTGACCCTCTGTCCTGCTGCTTCAGTGCTATTTTGAACTGTTAAGAGTCAAATGCACATATATTGGACACAACAAGATCATTTTGCTGCAGAACTTGTGAGGTATTGAGGTAGGTTCACTTGGTCCTGAGAAAGCTATGGGGATGAAACTAGCTAAAGAACTCTACTGCCTCTGATGTGAAGAAACAGCAAATGGCCATGCAAAAAAAGGTTGTGAAACATGACGGATGCAAGGCGCACATCGCTGCATGTAGAATGTTGTGGAAATGTATATTGCTGGTGAGGATTTGGCAAATAATTGAGTTACAACAAACCGTTGTCTTTGGAGAGTTTATTAATAAAAGAGGATAAAAAGAGAAGTACTACAACATATATACAGTTGGACCATAGGGCAGCTTTGGGAGTCTGGCTTAAAGAAAAGGGATGCCTAATCATTTACGCAGTCTAGGTTTCTATGTTTGGGGGAACAGAGATCCTCTCGTCGACTTGAACGCACATTCAAGCAGAGGAGAGTAAAAGGGGTAAAACACTAAACAATCTCACAGCTCTAACCTAAACCCTAGGAAATGTGGACAGACTAACATAAGGAGTATAGAAGCAGGAAAGGTTAAGGATAAAAACATCTATAAGCCATAACAATAATAATAATAATAATGATAGTAATATAATAATAATGCTGAATCTGCAGCCTCAACAGGAAACTAGTCCTGTATATTCAAGCTACGCCCCTATGCCATCAATGGATTCCACATGCATCATCCTTCATTGTATGGTATACCGAGGCCCACTATTACAGACTTCCTCCCTAATCTGAAACTGGCCTTAGATAACCTCCATGAGCCTTACCTGGAACTGACTGAGAGATTTAGTACCACATACTGCTGGAACACCACCAACTGCTCAAGGCTCAGATGATAGGTCAGTCCTGTCATCATCATCCATACCCGTACTCCGAAGCCATGTAAGCCTTACAGTTGCAGCATGGCCAGCTGGCTCAGAGTGAAATAGTCGCCATTCTCACCTCCTGCCATGTGAAAAATAATGATTCCCTTAGCTTCTAGAGCTTTTCCATGTGGGTCCACCTCCTAGTCAGCATACTACTTTCCCTGGAGGGAACCCAAGGTATCCAAGGTGGATCATTTGCTCAGCAAGTTATTGAAATATCTGCAGCTGCAGGGGAAGCTCAATTCTACATGCCACACCCCCCTACAATCTGGAGGAATTTCCTTGGGAAGCCCCCAAGCAGCAGGAAGGAGAAAGCCTCAGTTAAGGCAAGGTGCAACTGTTCACTATGGCTGTGAAGATCATGATGGTGCTCAACAAACCATACGCCCTGACATTATTCACCTCGGTGGATCCAGTATCACCTGTGAGATTTCTCCCATGTATTATCCAGGGTAATGTTATATGGGACAAGGAGCCTTCACTGCTTCAGGCATGGACTTGGTGAGCAGAGCTACCCATTACAGAATCTTGATGCTATGCTCATCTACAGATTAGATTCCGCTTCTGTCCTTCCACAACGTACGACCACTGGTACTAATAGGGCCATAGAAAGTTCACCTCAACACTGCCACCGAACTGGTATGCTAAAGGTGGCCCTGGATGGGCTTTCCAAGGCATGGCGATTGGTATTATCGCCATGCCACACTATTGGTACGCCAGTGTCTCTTTCTCTCAGAACACAGCCCAGAGGACCTTCTTTCCACATTCCTGTGGAGAGATTGCAGCAACTCGATGTGCTACTGTTCCGAAGCTCCAGAGAGGACCAGGAAGCCATAGATCTTCTTGAGAAGAGAACTCAACGGGTTGACATTGAGGAAGTTTGGCGCTAAGCTACACCCCTTCAGCGCAAGTCAGGTACCCTTAAGCTGCAAGGTTTCATCCAGTCATTCGCAGTTTGAGGAGCTCAAACAATAGACTTAAGAAAGACCCAGAGAAGGCAGCTGTCTATTCTGCAGAAACTGACAAGCTTACCCACACAGGGTATGTCACCAAGCTACAGCCTGAGGAGTTAGTGAAGCCAGAGGGGTCTTGGTCCCTCTCTCATTATTTTGTGTGCTATAATAGTAAACTAAGGATTCCAGGATATGTTTCTGAATGATCAGCTACTGCTGGGTCCTGCACTTGGCCCAACTGCCTACAGAGCCTTCTCTCCATACCTGCCGCCAAGCAATGACGGGACCAACGATGCAGTCTGCTAGCAGAGGGAGGGTTTGAGCTAAGACAGTGAGCCATAACCGACCAGCTGTTTTTTTTGCAGATGTGCCTAATGTAGCAAGGTCATGCAAGGTCAGCTGTAACAGAACAGTGGCTGGTTTATAACCGACATGATCCAATGTAGCCCACTTTAGGCGTCATTGCTCAGCGGACACTCTTGGCTACCCTCACCGGCCCATCAAAAATTCCTCACTGACAGCCTATCAGGTATGACCCTTTGGGATTTATAGTGGCATATACAACCCAAGCCAAGGAGCTCATCCAGCAGCTGTGATGCATCTGAGCATGCTTATGGAGCAGTTGCCTATCTTGCATTACAGAAGGATGGTGCTGTCCACACCTCTTTGCTGTGCTAGCTGGACTGAAATGACAGTTATTCTCCACCAGACAATACTGTGGACTGACTCCATGACAGTGCTGGAGGGGTTCCAATCAGGCTCCTGCCTTTTTAAGGTGTTTGTTGGAACCCATGTGTCCAAAATTCAGAAATTGTCTGGCCACTGGGATACATCTCAAAGGATATCCCAGATCCTGACCCCATCACTCCGCACGGGGCGGCGGGATGCAGCTTTACCTCAAGCAGTTTATGCCCCACCTGTTATGGGCCGGCAGAGGTGGGGCCACTGCCAGAACCTCACGGATCAATTCTGGCTCCACTTAACATGGAATTACATGCCTCATCTTCAGACTCAACAGAAGTGACAGATATCCTCAAGAAACCAGAACATGGATTCATGATGACTGTAGATCCACAGCATTACGGCGGTTGCCTACAGGCAGAGACAATGTAAGTCGGACTTACATTATATCTGCACAGCTGTTGTTACAGTGAATTAGCCTCTGCTTAAGTCAGTTGTTGTTGGTAGTGTGCTGAACACTAAGTTTGTGCATCTGTTGTTTTCAGATCCATGAGTTTGCATGGCCAGCTAGCAAACTTTCTCATGTGATTGCATGCTCCTAACAGTTTATGTTATCACTGAATTGGATAAGATGTTTATTCCATTTGATCAGTATTGTTAGTTTGGCAGTTTACTTCTCCATGAGCTGTAGGTGCAGGATACAACAAATTGATTGAAGAACTGAAATTGTTTATAAGGACGATGATCCAGAGCATTGTATAGCAAAACTGAAGTGAAATCTCCATCGCACACACTTTGCGTTGACTTTGTACACCAGACTCTTCGTTCATAGCAGTGGTGTAGTCTACGTGATACGCAGGTATACGCCATATACCCACTAGGGTATGTCACCAAGCTACAGCGATTCAAAGATTTCCGTATACCCACTTAAAATAGCAAGATGATACGTAATGTGGTGTATAACAGATGTGCATTTGACCATTACAGTTTAAAATAACACTCTAGTAGCTGGACAGAGGCTCAGTGAACTCTTAAGGGGGAGTAATGATGATGTGTAATGATTGATGGGTGTGTAAATAGTGAACCCTCCTATGGAATTTGACCTCTGACCCAGTGTTAGGGGGAGTAGTGATTAGTGTTTATGAAGGGACTGAACCCTTCTATGGTGTCCAACAAGATGTTTACACTTATCCTATAGAACTTTGCCCTTAAATGGATTGGAGCTTTAGTTTGCAGACTCTGACCCTTATATGGTATTTAGCAGATACCTAAACATGTCCTATATACTGTAAGCTGTGTTTGATGTACAGAGAGACAGAGTGGCCATCGGGCTGGGTCACTCTCCAAGCTGCTGCAGAGCTTGTAATTGATGCTGAACTCCTTGATGTAATAAACTTTTATGATCAAGAACAGTGTCAAGCGGATTTCTTCTCAACACATCATGCAGCATTATTGTTCGGACACCACAGAAACAATATTGTTTTGTGGCAATTCAGGCAATTCAGTCAAGCATCAACTTCAGTGAAGCACATTTAAATTTAGAGCTGTGTTGGAGGGCAGGCAGTCCTGGCAACTCTGTCAGCTAGACTGACCACATGTGGACCTGTCCCTCTATTGGAACCCTGATATCCATCTGTCTCTGGGAGACAGGAGCCCCACTCATTAAATGTTTGTCCTTCACCAAAACATCTCATTAACTTTAGCCATGTCTCCCCATCAACATGCAGTGTCACTAAATAAGTTCTAAATTTAGTGGTGTTTGTGGTGCAGATTGTAACTCTGGGATGCTCGCTTGATACCTCCTTTAAGGACAGGGACTGATCACAGAGTGAGTCTATGTATTTGTACATACATTAATAACATTAATATTAGTCTTCAGTAATTAAATAAAATACACAGTTTTAATTAACCCAGGCATTCTGGTTTAAACATGAAATGAATTAGTTTTATTTATGTTACAATCTCGGAAGTACACTACAACTTAATTACTGACCAGAATGAACATTTCTGTGGTCAGCGCAGCCCTCTTGTGGACAAATAATGATGTAACTGCAGCACAGTCCATGGGGACACCATAGGGATGAAACACAGCAGAGCAAGGACAAGTGCTTATAAATCAGGGCTTCACATTACCTGCCAGTCTTGAGGATATTTCCAAGTCAATGTCCTGCAGCCTTGCCACATGATCATATTCTCATTTTTCCATATGTGTGGTTGTGAAATTATATACAAATACAAAGTAAATACATGTTGTTTATAAAAAACTAAATTGCCCAAATGTGTAATTAATCTCTCAGTAATTGTGCACCCCGTGTCAACAACCTGGTCAGTTTTGACCAGTGAGAGAGAAAACCACGGGACACACACATATAGGATGGAGGAGGGTTTTGCTTGATGTGACTGGTGAACATTAATTTGTTGATCTCAGATGACCAAGAGTTAAAATGGAGACAACATCTTTACCGTGGCTGCTGGGTAAGTTAAAATCTACTTAATGTGTGGATGTTTATCTCCACGTTGTCTCAAAGTTTTAAAACATTTCTGTTGTTTTTGAAAGCAGCAGTGAGTTATAGATTGAACAACAAAGACAGAATTCAGCCAAAAGGCATCAACAGTCAACATTAGCTACAACAAGACAGCAGGAATTTCATTGATCATTATTTGGTAATATGGCAGAAAAGAATAATAAAACATTACTGAAAGTGTTCATTTTCAATTGTTAATGTGTATTTATTTTAATTCTTACAAATATAGTTAAATAGTAGAGGATGAAAACATGTAGAAAAGTTTAAACAAAAAGGTATTTACTGTACTGAAGTGCTAAAGAAAATAATTAATGAGAATTACCAACATGTCATTCAATCTGTCAATCATTCACACAAATTAGTAATTTAGTCCATCAACTACACATTTAGATTCAGTCAGATGTGCTATAATTACATGTTAAAGCTTGTGGTGCATGTATGGGGCACATTTACCTGGACTGATATGAAATAAATACCAAACATCAACCTTGAAACACTTGAAATCAATGTAGCTGTAGAGACCTTTTAGTGTTTGTTTAACCTTTGATGCCTGCATGTCTGCACACATTGAGCAGATTTATTTGCTGACTTCTCTGACCAGCTCCTCTGTCTTTACTTATTGCTCCTCTGTTTGAGTAAATTTACCGAAGAAACGTTGAATGTGTCCTTAAATAAATATGATTTGTTATTTCCAAATCTAATGTCTGGCTGTTTTTTTGTGTTGTAGAAAGTCCAGATGTCTTGTTGCATGTAAAACCTCAAACCAACCTGAGTGTGATTTCTCTTTAGTTCTGACCTCACTGCTGAGCTGCACAACAAACCAAGGTGAGCAAACTTCTTCTGTCACAGCTGAAAAGTTATTCACTCCCTGATAGAACAGTTAGTGTTTAGGACAGTGTTTGGGAGGGAAACAGCCACTTTACACATACAATAAAACACTGAATGAAGTTTTGATGCCACAGGGTTGCAGACTGGAGCCAAAGTTAAAACTGCTGCTATATAAATGGGATTCAGATACCAGGACTGTACAGCCTGATGCTGCTGCTACCAGAGAAGTGGAAAAATAAGACAGATGTAGCCAGATCTTCTGCTGTTTGTTTAACACCAACTTTGAGAGCTAAATTTAAAAACACGCAGAAAACATTTGTCTAGCAGCTCATACCTGAGTGTTGTTCAGATTTCTTCACTGAAACTCAGCGCGTGAAACACAGAGATCAGTTAAGTAGCGAAGAAGTGAGAAAGTAGGAATATCAGGAATGTGGAGAAAATAAATGCAAATGTTCTCTCTAACCACATCTTTCTGTCTCTTCCTCCAGCCTCTCTGACTGTGAGTCCCAGCAGCTCTCAGCTGTTTGAAGGAGAGTCTGTCTCTCTGAGCTGTGAGGAGGACGACAGCTCTGCTGGATGGACGCTGAGGAGGAACACAACCAGAGAAACCAGGACTCAGTGTGGATCTGACTGGGGAAAATCCGCTGGTTCTTCCTGTAACATGAGCTACATCGACCCATTGGACAGTGGAGTTTACTGGTGTGAGTCCAGAGAGGGAGCAACCAGTAACACCATCAGCATCACTGTCACTGGTAAGATCAGACTGTGGAGTTAGTGTTGATGAAGCTGTGTGTAAATGATGAAATGCTGTAGTTTGTCTCTGTGTTGAGGTGGACCAGTGATCCTGCAGAGTCCTGTCCTCCCTGTGATGGAGGGACATGATGTCACTCTGCACTGTAAAATAGAGACCCCTCCCTCCAACCTCCCAGCTGGTTTCTATAAAGATGGCTCCCTCATCAGGACTGAGCCTACAGGTCACATGACCATCCACCATGTTAACAAGTCTGATGAAGGCCTCTACAAGTGTAACATCAGCGGTCGTGGAGAGTCTCCATCCAGCTGGATCTCTGTCACAGGTGAGGAGGTTACCTTTGATTTTTAGACATTATCATCCAAAGATTCACCTGACCGGGTGGGATTCTCTCCACAGTTAAACCTACAACCACAGCTCTACCCACCCCGCCTCCTCCATCGCCTCCTGCCTCAGCCCCAATGGTGTCAGTTAACAGGTAGCACTCATCATTCGTCATTCACTGACCTTTGAATCAATCAGTCAGTCAATCAATTGTGTTTATGATTGACAGTTGTCACTAACAGATAAATGATCTACATTTTCTTTCTAATCTGCTCTGACTGCAGGAAATGACCTGCCCATCTCCATGGTGATGACCCTGCCCTCCCAGGCTGAGGATGGATTGGATGATGACTGTGATGATGTCACTGCTCTCACCACAAAGCATAACTTCTGAGCTGATCCAGCTGATACAGACCCTGGACAAATGCATTGCACAAAGATGTTGACATGTTTTTGGTCCAAATAAAAGCTGATAGTTGTTCAGACTCTGGTTTGAGTAGTGTTATTATTTATTAGTTTGTTTGGTTCAAATGTTTTAAAAGAGGGTGATATATTAGCCTTTTATATACTGTTTTAAATGTTTTTACTAAACTAATGTTAAAAAGAGTAGACCTACTGTCTGGACCTACTGTGTATGAAGAGTGCAATGAGATAACTTTTGGAAAAAGGCACACACATTGTCACTCACAACACGTCACATATGGATGCTTGGTCATGACCCCTTGACATCCCATCATGGTTTTGCGTTGGGCTCTGCGGTCAAGTTAGCAATAATAAAAATGCAACATCCGGTTAGACTTTCAAAATAAAACTAGTGGTTCTCCTTTTGAAACGTCCCAATTTGGTCAAGGCACCTAAACTACTTGGTCAGGGTTAAAAATATAACTTGCGTAATTTCGTGTAGTAGACCTAAATTTATTAGTTATGCATTTTAATAAATTTATAAGAATTGATACCCAATTATGAATTTTTATTCATAAAATCAAAATTTGTTATAATCCTAGAGTCTCCGGACCTCTAGGTAGTTTGAATAATTATGCAATTATCACTAGTGATCAGTTATTTAATAATCGCTCAATTATCTTAAATCAGTCAGTCAGTCTCATATCTAAAGGGTCAATTCTCTTGGCAGGAACTATAAATAGGCAACACACACAGCTCTTGGTTATATTACAGTGAATTTATTCTCTAACTAAGGTGATAAAAAGATGGTTGGATACAGGGAACATAAACATTTGCTGAACAGTGAGCCTGGAGGTTCGATTGTGGGAAGCATTTGACTAATACGGCATAGAAGAGCTAATGAAAGTAAACTAATGTCATAATTTAGGAGTTAAAATGGACATATCTGATAACAGAACGTGTGTTAAGTCTTACTGCTTGTCGACAGTCTGCTTTTGGCCTGTTGCACGGGCCCCACTCTAGCTGCCGATCCTGGCTTTTTTGCTAGGGATTGTCCGGGGTTCTCCGTGTCTGATTGAAAACGCCTCCTCCGTCTGGCAATTCGGCTGTTTGCAGGTTTCCTTGGTTGTAGTTGGCGAGACCACGTGGCTTGGTCTGACCTCGGTGAAGTTGGCTCAACGAAAAAGGCTTAAAATGGAACTTGGTCGTTCCTGAATTAGTCCGGTGTAACTTAACGGACTCATAACTTTAACAAACAAAAGAAATAAAGAAAATAAAACAAACTGAAGGCAGATCGATGTCACGGCGCTTCAGGTGTGTAGCTTCAGGCGAACAAAGGCCTGTTTGTTTCGCTGGCCGAGTCTGGGCGTTGCCTGACGAGGCACGCTGCTCGTGCCGAAACGTCCAGAGGGCCGAGCAGAGTGGAAGAGAGCCAACAGCGAAGAGAAGAGAGCTTTTGTTGCCTGGGGCGTGGTTCCCCAGGGGGCGTCTCAGGTTTCCCCAAGGGACTGCCTTTCTAAACTTAATGTCTAAGGAAAATAAATCTATTTGCACGTATTATAATATATCAAATATTTTCCACAATCGAACCTCAATGGTTGAACGGTTGTACTGTTCTAAGCATTTGGTAACAGGAAACAATTGTCACATTATTGGTCAGGATATTTATACATGAGGAAAGCTTGGATTACATTAGATGAAGGAGTGTCTTGCTGAAAATAAAAACGCTGCACAAGTAACTTCTTTTCAGCACTAATATCAACAACAGATAGCAACAACAGTTAACATAACTACTCAAATAGAGGCAAACGTAATCAGGTAACTAAAGATTTAATTAAATGCTTTGAGTCTTGGAGACTGCAGTCCTTTTACATTGAAAGTTCAGCTGTCCTGGACAATGTCACACTTAGGTGAGACAAGGAGTATCCCTTTGATGTGGTAATAAAACAAAGAATAAGGTCAGTTGCCACGGAAACGTGTGTGGGGGGCCAGTTTTGATAGGCTGTTCAGGGAGATGCCAATGGCTGGTTCGTGTCCCTTTGTCAGTTTAACAGTCAGGCCCCGCGTTATCAGCTTCGGAATCAAAGAGGTGCCAGTTTTATGGTCGGGATAGCACTTAGAGAAAGCAACTTTGACCCCTCCCCTTCTTCTCTGGGGAGGAGAAAGGAATTTAGGGTAGCTCCAAATTTATTCAATGTAAAATGCACAAATGCACAAATCCACACCGTTGTTCACTACATTCGGTAACATTATTTATGTAACTCACAAACCATACTTAATTTAAGTGACTTCATTACAAACACGCAATACTGACTTTTGTGACCAAACACTGGTCTCCTGGGTGAAAGTCCAGTTTCTTCCCTGTCCTGCCTGGAGTATTAGGAGCTGGATACCATCTTGTGGCAGACAGATTTTGCTTTAATTTAGTCCTTTGTCGTCTTTATTAATTGTAATTATGTATATATGTAACCAGGCACCTAGCTTTAGTGTAAAAAGCCCCTCAGGCTACAACCATCAAACCTGTGTCTCAGAAACTTCATGGATTTCGGGTTCAGACATTAATGTTTCCCTCAGGAAGAACTGTAATAAGATTGATGATCCTCTGACTTTTAATCTAGCGCCATCATCAGGTCAACAATTTAATGTGTCCAACACTTTGCTTTATGACCAATACCTGCAGAACTAATGACATTCCCATCAGCCCCTTTAAGAACAGGGTAATTCTCAACACTGATAGCACTGGATCTGCAGGGGATGGAGCTGTGCCATGGGAAGCTAGAAAACAATAATAATATTTCATCATAATGAGCAGTGTCCATCTCTGCGATCATAAACTAACTGTGTGAGTAAGTTTCCTGCCATCTGCAGCAGAGAAAACTGGACATTAAAGAACAAAGAGGAGAAAATAACAGAAAGTGAGATATCACATCAACACATAGCAGGCCCCATCCACACTACTCCGTTTTAGTTTAAAACAAACAGGATCTCTACGTTAAAACGACTGAAAATGCACATCTAGTGGCCGTTCAAGAACACTGGGCATGCGCATGCCAGTGTAAACATGAAGCAGATGGTCTCTCTCTTTCGTAGTTACAGAAGATTTGGCCAAAGAATAAAGAAATACAGACAAAGACTAGATTTTTTTTTTTGCATGCACTAATAAGGAGCTGGGACTGTTACTGAATGTAACACAGGAGTGTGGCGGCGGAAAACAGACTGGGAATCATCGCAAAGTAAACAGCAACATGCCCAGTACAAATGTAGGCAGAATATTTAAATAAAAACACCAACTCAAAAACTCTGTCAGTGCACACAGTGTCTGCTTTGCATGACTTATAAGACCCAATCAGAGAGCCGAGCGTGAGCGTCTGCGTCATTGTTTCTAAAGTCCTCCGTTTTTGCCCGTCTTCACTAAAACTGAAACGGAAAACGGGATCGGCAGTGTTTCCAAACTTCTACGTTTTAGATCTTCGTTTCCGCCATTTTAGTGTGGAGGCACAAACGTAACAAAAGGTCTCCGTTTTGAAATAAAAACCCAGAAGTGTAGATGGGGCCTTAAGCCGTGCTCGAGACCGGTCAGAACTGGGATATTTCCCAGTTGAGACTTCCGACTTCCGACATCAAAGCATTCCAGGTGCATGGTGGTGCATGACGCCAAAAGTGAACGAAAATCATGGCTGACAGTGACAAAGTGTACACACCGGTTGGACCTTCGGCAGTACTTTAGGTGTTAATTAAAAGGATGGCAACAACTGACATAAATAGCTCATACGTTACTAGTTCTGTGAACCCCTCTGGCTATAGAAGTTAGTAGCCCTCAAGTCAGTCAGTTTTTGCCATTTTTAACAATAACGTGCAGAAAAGATGACTTTATGAGATTCTTTACTGTAGTCAGCTACCTAATGTGCAAAACATATTTCTTCATCAACATACATGCAGAACAGGTTTTACTATATGACCATATGTATTATTTTAATTTAAATACATGCAAATATACTTTTTGTTGCCTTTTAGTTTATGGTTTACCATTTACAATGTGTGCTTCCAGAGAGGCTGACATTGTTTTCTGACATCATTCAGCTGCTACTCGTGAAGTCTCTGATTAGTTTTTCTTCGAGTTCACAAGTAGGAAATCCAACTTCAAGCGGCGTTCCAGGATAGTTTTTCTCGTTGGAGGTTGGAAATTTCCCAGTTCCGAGTTGCTTGGAACGCAGCATTAGTAAGATGGGACAAACATTTCTTCAATGGCTGATCTGTAAGAACGATCTGTTCTGTCCAAATTTTTGTTATTATGCTACTAGCAGGTGTGCAGAGTTTCTTTGCTCTGTTTCCTGATCTGTCCCTGAGTGGTTGGTGTTTGTAGCCCCAGGTATGTGAAAGGAACACTTTCATGCACATCTTTACCTCAAACAGCTGATTATAATTTATTACTTTCTGTTTGAAGCACTGTTAGGAACCCTCTAGGAAGCCCCTCCTGCCCTGTGACTGGTGTTTGTTGTGCCTTCATGGCCCATCTCATGGGTGGTGAGTAGGTTAATGGTTCTAAATGTATTTTAACACAGTAAGGTTGAGCCTGGCTGATTGTTTTCGGCGCTTTTCCCGTTCCCTCCTGTGTTTAGACCTCTGCTGTTTAGCCCTTTTGGTTTGCTAGTTTGATGTTCAGTTTAGTTCTGCTTTACCCATTAGTTAGTCTAACTTGTATTCATTTAGCTTTATATTTGATTTACATTAATTGGACTCTCTCGTGTGGGTTTTTTGTGATTCAGTTTGCCATTTGTCCGGCCATCTGGGTGATTGTATGTTAATTTGTTTGATTCCTATTGTTTTTAGTTTATATTTTTAGAGCAGGGTGCTATCTTGTTGGGAGGGTAGGTACCCTGGCAAGGTCCCTTCACTTTTTTGCAGGTGAGTAATTGCACGGGGACACAATATAGACTGCGCAATTTTGCCGTGAGTAATGCTGTGAGGTTTGCAGTGCTACACTTAAAGTGGGTAGTGGTAGCACTCCTCAGTGTAGTCTGCCTCTCCACAAGTGACCTCTGCTTAGTTTTGTATAAAGTTATTTTGCAGGGGTTATATTAAGT